AATCGTGAAAGGGGGGGGCAAGCTGCACCAGGATTCCTTAACGCTACCGGGATTGTCAGGCCAGAACTGGTGCCTCTTCCTGTTGGAATTTTTTTATTGGTATGCACACGGTAGTGGATTGGGGGGGAGGGTCACGCACGCCTCTGCGGGTCCCCGGGGCCCTTTTTCTAACTCTATCCGTCTTGGCAAGCGCCGACGAAGCGACGAGGGTTGGGTCCCGCTTTTTCAAGACGACACAGAAGATAATAGGACCCGAGGGGAGGTGCTCTTACGTCGCCTGAGGCTCGTCTCTTGTCTTGTTCTCGGTGGGCTAAACCCAACATCGGCTACAAAGGCCGTAGCGTGCGATTCTTAGCTGAGCGCCTGTTCTCAAGGCCAACTTCTTAACTCTCTCTCTGTTTGAGTCTGGATTCCACAACATCCCAGGTTCTCAAGGGGGTGGCTCATTCCTTACTAAATTCCAAAAAGTTCGGGGGCAGAAAGGCGCAAGCTTGGTTGCCAGAGGAGCTGCGCGTGCGTGCGCCGAGTTAGCCAAACCTTGATAAAACAACATCGAAAAAGTGACGTAATCGGGCGGCCAACGAAAACGAGGCGATCCTTGGCGGGGCCTAAGAAGCGCAGATTCCGCGCCCCCCCCCCCCCTCCCGACAGTGGATGCGTGTGTGTCTGCATGTTCCTTCGAGTGGAATCGACAGCGGTACTCCGCTGACCAGCAAAACAAAAACCAGCCTTACGAATGCACACAGACAAGCAGCGCTCGCGCTTGAAGAACTTGGCAGCTAAGAACTTTTCATTGCTCAGCATTATTATTCCGAACCACAAGATCTCGAGCACCAATGGTAAGCACGGCTAAGAACCCCTAAACTCAACCCTACATAGCCACACAAAAGGAACTAGAGTCCCGGCCACGTCCAAACCTAGAGGCTCTTACGCGCGGGCGCTATTTGTGGCGGGAAAACTGACAATACAGCAAGTCCTAGACCGCGGCCCTCCGTTATGACCGCGGGCCTCCTGCGGTGGGGTGGGGTGTGTGTGTGTGTGTGTCTCATCGTTATCATCGACCGCGCTGCCACCGGGCTGACCAAATAAAGTACGTCAGTCATATGCATACCATCATATTAGTGGGACAATAAAACGAGACCATTCTGTGAACCCTACCGACTGAATAAGTGCGTGTGTATTTCTTTTCACAAATGTACGGACAATCAAAAGAGAGACTACACCCGTTTGTTGAGCGCCTTTCCCTCCCGCACGAACACGCCAAAGCGAAACTCATACCAACCACCACCACGGACCTGGCCCTCGCACTTTGAGATGACCCCCATGTCGCCGTCCCGGTAGGCGTCGACCATCTCCCGAAACAACCCTTGATACACGCTGTCCTGAATGGTGTGGGAAGTCGTGAAGACAAGCCTGGAGAATAACCGCCAGGGTGGGGGGGGGGGCGTACTCTTATGTTTTGCATGCCTTAGCGGTTAGACCATTGACCACGCGTCCTCGAGAGGACGGAGCATTGTTCCCACAGGACCGATCACCGATGGCCAATCGTTCCTTCCTACTTTGCCAAAGGTAACCGCCAAAGGTAACCGCCAAACGTAACCGCCAAACGTAACCGCCAAACGTAACCGCCAAAGGTAACCGCCAAAGGTAACCGCCAGGGGGGGGGCGGCTACTCATGTAAATGCATGCCCTACAGAACGGGTCCGGAGATAAAGAGGACATGGAGTTTGTTGTTGGGTCCACTGCTGAGCTGTGTTTCTTCATCCTATCTTTCGTGAAAGGTTAAGCCTCTGTTTCTTGACGAAATATGTCTTAATTAACTGCGGTGGCCTGTGCTCTATTAAAGTCGCTACACCATGGACCTCGCATCCCTACAATGCCGGGACGGAGCGATATGCCGGGGTTCCGCCAGCCCAGGTATACAATACAACATTCGTTTTATAAGGATGAAGCAGAAGCCGGCCATCATCATTGTGTCAGGTGGGGAAGGGTTGCTCGTCTTGCTTGCCCGTTTGGTAGAGAGAGAAGGGCCAGCATTGCTGCTGTTGTTACCCCCCACACACACTGGCTGATCTTGGCGAGATCGCGCGCATGCGGGGAAAGAAGAGCGCGTATATTTTCAACGATTCTTGGCGCAGTCCCCTGCCTTGTTAACCCGCCCCGTGGGTAAAAAAACTTCCCGCCCCTTTTAGACTCGATTTCCAACCGACATACGTTTCGATGGCCTTTCGCTTCTGTCCCCAAGAAGAACTTACATCGAGATCGGATACATCGAAGAGAAGAAAAAAAAACAAGAGGGCAAATTCTTCCGAAATTGCTTCTTTGGCATCAAGAAAAGAGGAGAGCCGTAGAGGTAGGGGGGCTAGGAAGCCCGCATGCACCTGAATCCGGCCCCGCCTGCCGCCCGATACGTCTCGACAGCGTTCTCCAGATCCCGCTCGTAGGTCAGCCACCTGCGTTGAATCCGGAAACCCCCCAGCGGACAAGAGCAAAAAAAT